TCATTAGAAAAGATTATTGGTATATCGACAGATGGAGCACGAGCAATGTCAAGCATGGAGGTAGGAGTATCGGGAAGGCTATTTCAAGACATTAAGAAGGTCACAGGAAGGGAAATATTCGTTAACCACTGCATAATTCACCAGGAAAATTTGTGTGCGAAAAGATTGAGTTTGCCAAATGTCACAGTACCAATAATTAAACTAATCAATTTTATAAAGTCGCGCGCGTTAAATCACCGTGAATTTAAAGAATTCCTGAAAGATTTAGAAACTGAATATGGCGACGTGGTTTTTAATACCGAAGTACGTTGGCTTAGTAGAGGTGCAATGCTAAAAAGAGTATACAACTTAAAAAGCGAAATACAATTGTTCTTGGATATGAAGGGATATGCCTTTCCTCATTTTGGTAATAAAGAATGGATGTGCGATTTTGGGTTTCTTATCGACATGACTCAGCATCTCAATGATCTTAATGTGGAACTTCAAGGCAAAGGACAGTTTATTCACAATTTGTATGATAAAATTCAGGGCTTTGAGCGCAAATTAAAATTGTGGAAACAGCATCTTTTGCAGAATAATGTGTCTCACTTTCCACATTTAGAAAAAGAAAACGTTACTACTTCTCAAAAATACGCACAATATATAGACATTTTAATCAACGAATTTCAATTACGATTCCAAATGTTCAAAGCTGAGAAGACAGCGGTTTCCATGAAAATGTTTTCCTCGCCATTTAATATCGATGTGGATACAGTTCCCGAAGACTTTCAAATGGAAGTGATTGACATGCAGAATAATACCGATTTAAAAAATGTATTTTTCTCAGTAAACATCGAAAATTTTTATAAATCTTATGTGAGCCCTGAGAAATTTCCGCTTTTGACGAAAAATGCAAAGCAAATGATGTCTCTGTTCGGAAGTACGTATGTTTGCGAACAATTATTTTCAACCATGAAATTAATCAAAAATGACCACCGATCAAGACTGAGTGATGCACGATTAGAAAGCTGCGTACGTGTAGCTACCTCATCAATTCCGGCTGATATTGATCAGCTTGTATCGAAAAAACAGTGCCAAATTTCTCATTAAAAATTTCAAGTAAATTCGTTTTTCTGTTCTTTTCTTGTTTGTTTTTATTTTGCATTAAAATTTGTATATGAAATCTTCACTTTTTTTAAATTTTATATTTTTTTATTGTAATGTTTATTATAAATAAAGTTTTGTAAATTATTAATAAGTGTTACTTTATGTGCGGCCCGCCAAAAAATTTTAAAATTTAAATTGGCCCGTTGATTAAAAAGGTTGCTCACCCCTGATTTAGAAGATTAAGTGCATACATGAAAAACTCATAAATGAGCAAAATTATTAGTATAAATTTGTATACAGGTGTACCTCGAGTTACATCATTCTCGATTATATGTCGTTTATCAAAAAATATATGGAAAAATAAAAATCAAGTTTAAGTCATTTTATTCAACTTTATGTCCATCCGCCACAAATATTGGAGTCGTAATATCACTAGAAAAACGTTAAAGCACATAAAATCATATTAAAATATGTACATTTACAGTAAATGTTGGTAATATAATCATCATAAATCCTAGAGAATGAAACATGAAAACATCTGTGTTTCTGTGTTGTCATCTTATTTAGCGGTCTTTAAGTGCTCAATATTGGTGTTTTCCATGGTAGCTCCAATATTTACTGTTTGGTGTCATTGTCAGTACCACTTGATATTGGTAAATTTAATATAAATTAGTTTATTTTCTACTGTCGCAAGATAATTTTAATAACTGCATTTGTTATTTAACCTTATAAAATCATCTTATTTTATAATGTCTTAGAGCAAACCACGTTCACAAATAAAGAGTCTGTGATGTACTGTAAACATCACCAAACTGTAAACATGTACATTTACAAGTATGTACTGTACATACACGAATTCGTAAATTTAGATTACTTTTTTTTTGTACTATATTAAAAACAAATTTATTTGTTTGTAAGCTTAAAATAGATTCTTATTAACCACATATTATTAAAAATGCACTCATAAATAAAATACAGAACTGGAAACAGTTATTTGTGGTTTAGCCTAGTGACAAGTAAATTTGGAGAGAAGTAAATTTGACTTACGTTGTTTTTCAACTTAAGTCACATCTCCTGGAACCAATTACCGACATAAGGCGAGGTATACCTGTATTATAAAGTTTAAAATATTCTAAAAATTATTAAATGATAGTGAGTTTGAATGTTTTAAATACAGATTAAAATCATAATCTGTTGTTTGTATAATTTAAAAATAAAGATGATTTACTTTATTCCTTTTATGTATATATTACAGTTATTTTTTAACAGTAACAATACATATATATTCCATTAACCTGCTACTTTACTTAAAATCAGATCACCTGTTGAATTTTTAAGCTATAATAAGGCTTGTCTGGTTTTAAGTATAGGTATATTAATAAGGATGGATATATCTGTACAATTTTTTTTATACCCATTCCAACTTAATTAATAACATGGAATAAAAATAAATACCTAACTTCAATTATTTTTAAAAGAAGAATTTTCTTTATCAACATGTACTAAATTAACAATTGTATATATAAATTATAATTGCTTATTCAAGAAGTTAAATACATTTTATTTCAGAAAGTTTTTTGATTTATCAACTTCTGCTACAAAGTATTTGTAAATACTTATAACATAAAATGGAGCATTGAATAAAATAAAATCAAACAACAGCATTCAAATTTAAAACAACAGCACATGAGAGGATGATGAACAACCTTTAAAATACAAAGTAAAGAATTTTGAACTATTATTGTCTACTAGGACTTTCTTACAGTAATAGGGCTTATTATACTGTTTCTGTCATCAATGCTCAAAGAATGGGAAGTAGCCAGTTTTAAATATTGTAGTTATAGTAGTATTAATTTTCTTGATTTAACAATATGTAAAAATGGTAATTGTCTGCATACTAAACATTTTAGAAATGCTATAGCAATTGAATCTTTTATACATTGAAAAGCCAATGATACAGTTGTGCACAAACTAGTTTCCATCAAAGTGTTTTTAAATAGAGCTATTTCTCATTCTTTTAGTATCATAATCAGGGGCAATTGGCCATGTGCCCCTTTTTTCTCTGTGTTTCCTCTTTTCTAATCCCCAAGGGGCCCCCAAATTCCATTATCAACAAACAAAATTCATGACTTCTACTTTCATATACTTTTCTACCCATGTATCTTCTTCAACAAGATACCAGAATTAGAAATAATAGTCACTGCTAAAGCTTTCAGTGCCACCTTTGTTTGTCATGTTGGACAAGCTAGCATAGCATTCATCTATGAATAATTTTGTAACTTTTTCCCCACTTTTGAAGTATTATGATTCTGCTTGCAAAGTGATATTGCATATACTTATTATCATAAAATGTTATAAAATGTTACTGAAATCACTCGATGAGGAGTCTGAGGAAGAAAATATAGGCTCTATAAACTCCGCGAGGCACGTGGTCTGTGGTTTCAGATACACAAGGAAAAGAACAAAGGGAAGGACAATGAACAGTTGGTGGAAACGTGTAACTAGACAAACAAAAGTTTAGGTTTAGTTGAAAAACACGGTACAATATTAATACCAAGACACAGTTCAATACCGGACACATATAGCGTAACAATAACAAAATTGCTTGATATTCCCCCTTCCAAAATTCCTTCCTCACGCGAGGCCCTGCTTTGCCCGACAAATAATATAGATCCGACGGATAAAAAAATTTTTACAAATAAATTTTGGGAAACAGAGTACCTAAGGGACTTGACAAATTTCTTCCGTAACGGCACAATCATTGGCTTTGATGGAGACAGATTTTCTTTTCGCGCTGCACTTCTTGAACTCTATCGACAGTCGACTCTCTTCACGGTTACATATTGTCTCTCCTTCCGTCCACGGCATACTCTCTACAAGAGGAAAACCAAAAGTCCTTTTTTATCTGTTACATACACTTTTATAACTCCCTCCAACTCTGTCCCACGTGATCCTGTCACGGATCAATGTGATGTCGGAAAACCCAGCCATCAGCTAACAGGTGGTATCAAGGAAGAAAATGGAAAAGAACGGTACAAAACATACACGCGACGCAACATAAACAGAAAACAAAAGAAAAAAAATATAATACAATAATAGCCACAAAGTGCTACAGCTCTTTTCTCACAGACAATGAGAATGAGGATATCCATATGAATATCCTAGAAGTGTTGAGAAATAAACCATATCTTCCATAGGCAACATCAGTAACAAGAGAAAAGTGTGCTTATTGCCCAAAAAAGAGTAAGAAAACATCATTCAAGAGTGTAATATGTAGCCTATTGCACTGATCTGCAGATACCACATAACAATCTGCAAAAAATGCAATTTTAAAAATCCATGCTAAACAGATTCAGAACTTGAATAAAATTATAATTAAGTTTAACAATAATTTCAGATATCATATTTCTGTTTTTATCAACCTGATTAGATATCAATTTTCTGTTTTTATATCAAAATTACTTTTAATGTATTTTAACTGAAGTAAAGTGAAATAAACATTAAAATGCGTATTATTCATAAAAAAACTTCCTGATCTTAGTAAAATTTCTCAAGACAAATCATTAAGAATAGTAAAATATGTAATGAGAGTGCTGCACTCGCCCTCAAGTAATGGTGTTACAAATCCAACCACGAGGAGCACCGGGTTAAAGGTTGCTTGTCATCCTTTAACCCTTTTCATGTACCATTATTTTAAATTTGAATGCTTTTTATTTGATTCAATGTTCATTGGATATTATAAGAATTTACAAGTAATTTGTGACTGAAATTAACTGGAGCCAAAAACATTTCCAAAATAAAATATTTTTGGCTTCCTGAATAAGTAGTTTTAATTTTTAAATTATCATGGTTCAAAGTTTCAAGGACTTTATTGATTAACAATTGTATTTTCTAATTTAAATTTTTATTTTTAGGACGAATAAAAATGGTTGAATTACTGCTATCTTACAATGCACATCCATTTTTATCAACAACACTACACGATTCATTAAGTTATAGTGGTGCTGCTCAAAGGGGATGCTACAGTGCTATTGCAGTTGCAGCAGCACATGGACAAAGAGCTATTTTACATAAACTTCTATCACATCCAATGGCAAAAAGTAATAAGGATGTACTGTCATTGGAAGAAATATTAGCAGAAGGTGCCTCACAACTTACTAGTGATAAAAGAACAACTAAATTACAGGTATTATAACTTTCTAACTGCTATGCATAATATTTAATACATAAATATTTTAATATATATTTTACATTGAAAATCATGTACATTTTATTTTAACTTTAAATTTAAATAATCTTTAAATATTTTCAAAATTCATAAAGATGGAGTGTAGGATTTCAAGAATATTTAAGATTAATATTGTTTGATTTATTAAAGTAAAACTGACTAATAATTAGTTTCTTTGAAAATGCTGTTTCAGTTACATTTAAATATGATTATATTAGAATATAATACAATGGTACCTCAGGATACAAACGCCCCAGCATACGAAATTTTCAGGATACAACATGAAATTCGAACATATTTTTGCTCCACGATATGAACAAAAATTCACCATATGACATTACATTAGTTTGCAGCACCATTTTTATTCACTTCTATTCGTTGGTCTCAGTCTGCATGTTTGCTTCGTTGTGGAAGGATCTCACTCAATAAAGGAAATCTTAAGGTATTATCAGAAAGTGACTGATTTTATTGAAAAGAAACATCCCAAAAAGGTTCACACTTGCCGTATTGCTGCTCGGAGTAATGACATTTGCCTAAGTCATTTTAGAAACATTTTAAAAAGTAGGCAAAGCCAAACCTCTTTGGATAGATATTTTACCAAGTGACCTCTATCCAGTGAAAGTGCTGATGGAAGTGAAGGAAAGAAAGCAAAAAGCAGTGAATAAAATATTTAAAAAAATATATAAAACAGAAAAGTTAAAAAATTAGTGTTGAGTTATTTTTAAGTTGTTACATTATGTTATGTAAGTTAAGTTTCAGTACCATTTCCCTTCTCCCTCTCCTCCGCCACCAGTTTACACCTCCACCGTCATCTATCCTCAAAGGTAAAGTGCAAATAAAACTACATTTTGTTTTTATCAATTATTATTTTATTATGGTTATTTATACATTTACAACTACAAAATGCATTTTTCAGTGTTTTCCTTACTAAAATAATTTTTTTCAATGGACTACTTAGTTTTAATTTGAGTGTTTTTCGTGTTGGAATGAATTATTTGATTTTACATGTAATCATATGGGGAAAAATGATTCACCTTACGACATTTTCATGATATGATCTCAGTTTCGGAATGGATTAATTTCGTATCCTGAGGTACCACTGTACAATGAGTTAATAAATTTCATTAATATTGTTATGATGTATTTTGGTATTATTTTAAAAATTGTCATATATAAACAAAGTAAATGTAGTAACAAGAAAAACTGGATATATATATAATGAAAAACATGTGTACGATACCAAAATCCAGCAGAAGCAGGAGAAAAATTATATTTTTCTGGAATGACAGCCTGAAGGTGACCCTTTAATACAAAATAAAATGTTTGCTATAGTAGCATTTTACCTGCTTTTGCTGGATTTTAGTATTCTATGTGTTTTTTCATTATAAACAAGTAGCCTAATTCTTCTATATAGTTTTTTTTTACTCTATGCTTATTTCTTATCAAAAATTTTAACAACTTTAATTATATAAATGTTTGCTTAATGAAAATAATAGATTCTATTGTACTCTATTTACAGTATATCAAAAATAATCATTCATAATATTTTTTCATCTCTGAATTATTTCTGATGCCTTCCAATATTTAAAATATTTCTGTTAGTGAAAAAGTGAAAAAATACAGAATTATCTCTTAATTTTCGATATCATATTAAAATATTGTTTCTAATCTGGATATTTAGGACCAGATTAACCATAGAGCACAAAATACACATATATGGGGGATTCAGATACACAAGGAAAAGAAAAACATGCACAGTAGATGTTAAAAACTCAACTTATTTTCACATTATATAACTATGTACAGGTTAAGTAAAGGATGCCAACTCAAGGNAATGAAAATAATAGATTCTATTGTACTCTATTTACAGTATATCAAAAATAATCATTCATAATATTTTTTCATCTCTGAATTATTTCTGATGCCTTCCAATATTTAAAATATTTCTGTTAGTGAAAAAGTGAAAAAATACAGAATTATCTCTTAATTTTCGATATCATATTAAAATATTGTTTCTAATCTGGATATTTAGGACCAGATTAACCATAGAGCACAAAATACACATATATGGGGTATCTGCAAACTGGCAGATAGGCAATAAAAAATAAAGAAAATAAATAAAGAAAACGGAATATTTTATTTTTAAAATTCATTTGTAAATAGAGTATGGGGTGGAGCATACATTAAATTCCATGTGCAGGGGCATTTTCTCTTTTAGTATGGCTATGTGGCTATTTTAATGAGAAACTGTATTTAAGGGCAAGCACAATAGTGGTTTATGATGATATGCTTATTCAAAATCAAAGTATATTTTCTAAATTAACAATGGGATATATAGATTTTAATAGGGAAAAAAATTATTTTCACTTATTTTCATTTTTTTAATTCAGATTATCTTACTTCTTAATATAGAAATTCCTTTAATTCTTATAATAGTCATTACTTAAAATGATTGTATATGAATATATTAAAAAATATTACACAGTGTAAATGTATTCAGTCACTAAACAGTGTGCTTTTAATAACATAAAGTATAACATCAAAAGCTTGTATGGAGTCCAGCAGACCCCTTTAGCCTTATTATTTTTTTCTTTTTATTTTTTTGAACAAATAAAATATGTATATAACAACACTTTCCAAACTGAAGACATATATCAAAAATATAATTTACAAACTTTTAGCTTCAGCCAGCAGTTTATATAATCAAATTGTTTTTTGATCTCTTGAAGGCAATGTTCAGTATTTTCTAGATGTTCTTTTAAGAAGTGTTTCATCTGGAAAACACTGATCATGAAGAGGTTGAAAACACTTTGACTATATAAACAGTTTGTTGAAGCTAAAGATTTGTGAGTTATATTTTCAATACATAGAATGTTTCTTTATTGATAAAAAATAGTATTAAGCATTTTATTTTTTTGTGAGTAAAAGTAACGTTAATTTACATGGAGAGGAATTTCTATCGTCCCTAAGTTTTCTCCAGATCTAGGGAAAAATTCCCAGCTCTCTTCTCTCTCAACAGCCCTGTTTATCAATTACTGTACTTAACAAATGTATACAAATTTTAGAATTGATGAAATTATTTATATATACAGTTATAATATAATTTAAATGGAGCAGTCATATTCAAATTAGGTTTTTTTCTCCTATAAAGTAAAAAATTAAATTTTGTTTAAAAATTTCCTTTAACTTAACAAAAATCAAAGGATTTAACATTTTATAAGTAAAATGTATCAACAGTGCAATGTTGCAGCACTGTACAACAGTACACAGTGCTGTAAAGTTGCTACACAGCAAGCGTTGCAATGCAATGCAAAATTTTACTCAGCAAGCATTGCAAGTGCTGCAATGTTTCGTGAATAAAATTTTGCAGCAAAAAGCATTAGATGATGTAGCACTGTGGTTGTCTTTCTCTGCTGAGTGTGATTTACTATTGTATCAACAACACGGTACATTTAATATTTTTAGATTTTATTTGCATACTAGCTGCAAGGACTCGCTTCGCTGGGCAAAAAGTAACGATAGTGAAGATTAAGATAATTACATTATAGCTAATCTTACCTGTTTTCACAGAATGCAAGAATTAGATCCCCCATTTCCAGACTAATTAGAGAATTTTTACATTTAGTCAAACGAACTATTTTCAACGTTTCTGGAACATTTACAATTGTTCTATAATCGAACCAATATTCGAATTTTATGTTCAAATTTAATTCGAACAAATTCGAACAAAACATTCAAAATAGAAAGCCACTTTCAACCACTTTCAGCCTCATATCTCCCGCACCCTTATAGCTAACGAGACGCAACTACCCCTATGCACGAATGGAGACTTGGGGCTACCACCACATACAAACACCATTCACGTGCGATGTGTAGTTTTTGCAGAAAAGTGAAATATAGGGACACACACATCCATTTTTATATATATATAGATAAAAATATTCAATTGAGTCTGTATATTGCATAGAGTTATTTTTAGAATTATTCTGTTGTATAAAATTAATTTTAATACTTAATTAATCAACTTTTATATAATTCTTTGATTTTATGTGATAGATTGTGCCAGCTTCTGTCGAAGAAGGACAAAGATCTACAAGTAATTGTAGCAATTTAGCAAGTTCTGATGTAAGCCAAGTAATTAAATTAACAAAGACTCAATTAAAATCTTTGCAAGAAGCAATGTATCATAGTGCAGAAAATGGAAATTTGGAGATAACGTTAGATCTCAGAAATATTGGTAAGTGTAAGATTCTATAAATAAAATTTAAAATTTCTCTTAAAATATTGATGGAATAAGAATAAAATGATTGTTTCTATCTGTTCTACTGATTATCATATTCAGCTAGTTAAATATGGATTATAATTAATTAATTTAATTTAATTTTTACATTAAATTATATTAAACTTGAGAACATTACCAAAGATAAAATTAATTTTATTTTTATTAATGTTAATCAATTGTAATAAAAATGTTTGCATTTGTTTTCAAAGGTGTTCCATGGACTCTTCATTGTTGGATGCATACATTAGCAACTGCTCATGACTTACAACTGGAAAATATCATTGATCAATTACTTCAAGATTTTCTTCATGGTTGGCCAGAAGATTGTAGTTCTCAATTTGTTGATGAATGTCTACCTCTGTTATTTACTATATTCAGACATAGTAAAGTAAGAATTTATATTTTTATGTGATTAATTTCAAAAACTTAATGAGCTTGGATATAGTTTTGAATCTAACAAACTATCAATTTTTTATAGTAATTTTTCCATAAAAGATAAAAAGAATTTTTAATTTTTAAAGCTGAATTTAAAACAGATTTCTTAAGCTAAGAATGAAATTTAAGGAAAACAAAAAATACTTTCTCATTCATTCAACATAAAAGAATTATTCTGCTGAATAATTCTTTTATGTTGAATAGTTCTTTTATGAAGAATTATTCAGCAGAATAATTCTTCATAAGAAGTTAAACCTTTGCCCAATACTTTTCCCATAATCAAAAAATGCAATTTCTACAGACAATGATTTTCTGTGTATAAATATTTAATTGAAAATTTTATTAAATATATTTACCTTTGTCATTAAATAAAGTTAGTAATAATAATCTTTTTCATTGTAAAAAAAAAAAGGTAAGTTATACAGCTTTGTATCAGTGTTAGAGAGAAATATGTTTAATTCACAAATACTTTTGACATTGTATAACAGCACCAGAAATGCTTAGAAAAGTTGGATGAATAAAAATGAAAAAATCTTAATTTTTAAGAATTATTGATTTATAATTCANCGTTAGATCTCAGAAATATTGGTAAGTGTAAGATTCTATAAATAAAATTTAAAATTTCTCTTAAAATATTGATGGAATAAGAATAAAATGATTGTTTCTATCTGTTCTACTGATTATCATATTCAGCTAGTTAAATATGGATTATAATTAATTAATTTAATTTAATTTTTACATTAAATTATATTAAACTTGAGAACATTACCAAAGATAAAATTAATTTTATTTTTATTAATGTTAATCAATTGTAATAAAAATGTTTGCATTTGTTTTCAAAGGTGTTCCATGGACTCTTCATTGTTGGATGCATACATTAGCAACTGCTCATGACTTACAACTGGAAAATATCATTGATCAATTACTTCAAGATTTTCTTCATGGTTGGCCAGAAGATTGTAGTTCTCAATTTGTTGATGAATGTCTACCTCTGTTATTTACTATATTCAGACATAGTAAAGTAAGAATTTATATTTTTATGTGATTAATTTCAAAAACTTAATGAGCTTGGATATAGTTTTGAATCTAACAAACTATCAATTTTTTATAGTAATTTTTCCATAAAAGATAAAAAGAATTTTTAATTTTTAAAGCTGAATTTAAAACAGATTTCTTAAGCTAAGAATGAAATTTAAGGAAAACAAAAAATACTTTCTCATTCATTCAACATAAAAGAATTATTCTGCTGAATAATTCTTTTATGTTGAATAGTTCTTTTATGAAGAATTATTCAGCAGAATAATTCTTCATAAGAAGTTAAACCTTTGCCCAATACTTTTCCCATAATCAAAAAATGCAATTTCTACAGACAATGATTTTCTGTGTATAAATATTTAATTGAAAATTTTATTAAATATATTTACCTTTGTCATTAAATAAAGTTAGTAATAATAATCTTTTTCATTGTAAAAAAAAAAGGTAAGTTATACAGCTTTGTATCAGTGTTAGAGAGAAATATGTTTAATTCACAAATACTTTTGACATTGTATAACAGCACCAGAAATGCTTAGAAAAGTTGGATGAATAAAAATGAAAAAATCTTAATTTTTAAGAATTATTGATTTATAATTCATAATTGATTCATAATTAATTACAAAGTATTATTTTTCTTGTAATTTGTGAATTGAATTAAGAAATTGTTAATTTAAATTTAAAAATATTTCTATAAATGTATTTTCATTACTCTATGCAAAACTTAAACTAATGTAGTTTTCAATGGATGATAATTAATAAATTACTTCATAACAATTATCTTTTCAATGTAATTATTTATGTTTCAAATTCTAAACCTAATATAATAATTACTATTTTACTATAAATATAATATATAAATATTAGAATAGTAATTTTTATAGTTATATTTCTCTGAAAATATCTACTTTTATGATATTGTTGCATTTTAATAATTAAAATTAATTTAAATTTGCAGAAAGAAGGCACTAGTCTTTTATTGGCTGATATTTTTTCAACTTGTTATGGTAAAGAACCAATAAAAACAATTCATGATGTATCATTTGTGGGTGGTGCAAGAATAGGTAATATTAATTTAATTATTCAACAAATTAAAGAAAATTCAGAAAATACTCTCCCTGTATGTGACAAACAAACAATAATAATAATTTATTTTAATAATTAAAATGTTCTCAATTTGTCATTTTATCAATCTCTTCAAATATGACAAAATAAAAATCTTCAATCTCAAAATTCATGAAAGTCCTATCTTATTGGAAGTGTTTTTGTTAGAACAGGGAAAAGTCTGTAAGGAATTAAGATATTAACATAGGAATATAGATATTAAGATATTAACATACCAGCATACCTTACAAACTTTTCCATAGTGCTTTTGAATCTTTCAATCCATCTTCTTGAATAATCTTATCAAAATAATAATTTAAACATTCTAATTTTTAAATTAATTCAATTAAGTTTCATCAACTCAAATAAATTAATATGTTTGAATACTCAAAAAATGCAGTCTTTTCATGAATCTTCAAATTTTGTTTTGTAATTTTACAAATAAATGTANTAAGTTGCAATTCACTATTAAAACAAAGAAATACAAGTCCAAAAATCTATGTAATATTATTAAAATGAAATGCAAGTTCAAAGACATATATAAATAAAAAAAAATGCAAACAAAAATTAATTACAAAAAAAATCAAACAGATAATAAATGAAAACATCCTAAACCAATGTAAAAGCAATATAAAAGCATACTGTTTATTCTCTTATTCTCTACACATATCACAAATAAATTGAACATACTCATTTTCTACATCCATACAGTCCATATGAGCCCACAGTTTACATTTACAGCATAACCTCTTGAGTAATGCCATATTCTTCATTGCAATATATACAATAAGTATTTTCACCGTCATTTTCTGGTTCCTTAGGACTTTTCTGCCTCTTTCTTTTAGTTAACTTTGAATCCGGATTCTCTAAAACCATTGCCGTTCTGCAACTTCCGGATTTTTTATTTTTATCCTTGGCTTCTATTGTGGCTTTATGTTGCCGATCTTGCCCACTAGTCATGATTTTGAAGCATTAAGTAGAACCCTGAGAAAAAGGTACCAAGCCATGATCTGGCCACGTGAATAAGTTGAAGTTTTATCCTTCTAACAGGAAAAGTAACTTTTGTTATCATGGAATTATAACAAAACATGCCAATTCTATATAAATGGAAGCAAAATATTATGAGAGATTGAACGAAACAGAAAAATTGCTTGATAATTCAACTATGTTTGTTGGAGAACAATACAAACACTACATTCAACAAGCCACCAATAAAACTCAACTACCTAACCTATAACCAGAGTCTCCTTTTAATTTGTTTCTAAAAAAATGCAATTGGCAAACTTGCCCCGTATGTCAAAGTTGCCCCGGTCTCCCCTATATATATATCTGATACATATATATCAGAATATGCTTGTTGGAGAACAATACAAACACTACATTCAACAAGCCACCAATAAAACTCAACTGCCTAACCTATAACCAAAGTCTCCTTTTAATTTGTTTCTTAAAAAAAGCGCTTGACAAACTTGCCCCGCATGCCGAAGTTGCCCCGATCTCCCCTATATATATNACTACATAGTATGCATTCTTACTAATCTAAATCAGTTTTGTTGTTTTCCACTAAATATTCCAACCAAAAACAAAAAGAAATTTTGGACTGATTTTTAAAAACATGTCAAACTTAGCTTTAGTTCTTTTTGACTTGCTTTTCATTATATACAACCCCACTAATCCAAATGACTCTGTACAATTATTAATTTTGATTAGCAAGAGTGAACAGTACATAAGTAAATAATTTAATATGGAAATCTTTTAATAGATCCAAAGTATGTAAATAATCCCGAAATGTCAGATGTTCAGTTCCGAGTTGAAGGAAGAGTTTTTTATGCTCATAAAATTATTTTAGTAAATGCTTCTCCACGCTTTAAATCTATGTTGTCTTCTAAATGTAGTGATGAAACACCACCAGTTGTTCAGATAAATGATATTCGTTATGACATATTTCAGGTATTTAATTTTATTTTATTAAATATATTATCATGTTAAATAATAAATTTTTGCGCTCCGCACAGGAGACTTTGAAAGAGCGCGCTGCATGAAAGTGGCTTTGTTTACTTCTTACCGAAACATAACATGGCACATACACATGCAGTAGAAATTATTATAGTATATTATTGTTGCAATGAATAAAATGTTTCTTTTATTTACAATATTTTTTCCTTCAATTTATTTGTATCCTCCTTTTCATTGTAAAAAATGTTGGTCACCTTATGTATATTATTTATGTGTGTTCNATATATTCATATTAAGTTAAATATAAATAAATTTCAAACTTTTATTTTTAAATTTAAAGTTTTAATATGAATTTTCATTTTTTTAAATTTACAGTTAGTAATGCAATATTTGTATAAAGGAGGATGTGAAGAATTTGATATTGATCAGAATGATGTATTAGAGGTATGAAAAATATATTATTTCTACTTTAACATTTACACAATATTTTATATTTTATTTCAAACAATACTATTTTTTAACAATATAATTTATTATAATTGTTTCTATGTTTCAACATACAGTAATACCCTGAACTTACACGATAGATGGGACCAAGCAATAACCGCGTAAGTCGGGGTATAATTTTGCAATTTGTGTAAAATCCAAGTCAGATGTATGTAAGCCAATAAATGTTCTCATTAATCTTATCTTGTCTTTTGATTCGTTCATGGTTACAAGAAATCACCACATAGAGTCTCTCAAGTCTCCGTAGATATAACAAACACAGAAATAAATAACACAAAATAAATTGTACCTATGTATCGATTCTGCGCAACATGTCCGAACGTGTAAGCTGAACAATAGTGTGAGGGGAGTGAGTAATCAAGAGTTGTGTGGCACTCAAACAAAAGACGAATCGACGAGATTTGAAAATCGCGTAACTTTGGGTTCGCATAAGTCAAGGTAGCGTAAGTCGAGGTATTACTGTATTGAAAATTTAGTCTGATAACAAATAATAATAAAATAATAAAAAATAATAATAATTAAATAAAATATTTCAATTATTTGGTATAAGCTTATAAATTTTAATAAATCTTATTATATTATATCATAATTATTCAATATTTGTACTTATAGAATAATATTCAGATAATATTCAAAAATTCTGATAATTTACAAAAGTAATATCTTTGACAAAATCTTGAATTATTCATATAACTCAAATTTCAAGTAATCAAATATCTATAAGCCAAATTATAATCAGACTATAAATAAGCCAATTACACTACCCAACATGATTTTTACTTCTATGAAAATATAGGTGGTTTCTTATCAATTTCAATGCCTATATTTTGAAAATCAGCAAGAATATGTCACATCACATCACAGTTTTCAGATATTAAAGCATATACATCAGGTATCTGTGCATTTATCAATATAAAGTACTGTAGATGATGTAACATCACCAGTTTTGGGAATAACTATCACAGGAAGCACTTTCAGTGAAATAAAATAAGCAGTTGTAATATGAAACTGATTCATTATGTTCCTAAATTGAACATATTGTTTAAAATGCTTTAAATTATTGCTAAATTTTGGAACAGTTTGTTGAGATCCTTCTGACAGGTGATGAAATAAATCTTCATTTACACTCAACAAATTAAATTAATCTCCATAATTTAATAAAAATCTATATCAATTGTAATTGTACATTCTACAGTAATTTTTGCTATAGGAAACAAGTATAGTCAGCCGAAGTAAGAATCTTTCACTGTTTTGTTAATGGCCAAAAAAGACAAGTGTTGTGTCTTTTAATTTATTCTTTCATTTTATTCTACTTACATTGTATCATGTTATAAAATTTAGCTACAAATAAATATTAATGTGAGTGAAAGTCATATTCAGCCTGTAGAACAGCCAGTTTTGGTGCAAAGCTTTTTATCACAAGCTTTGCACCAAAACTGGAACACCAAAACCAAAATATGGTTTGGATTTCATATAAAAAATGTGGATTCTCAGAATGAGAATCCACATTTATCTAGGCTCACCTGTCTCTCTGGCATCGGACATTTTAATTTAATTCTTCATCCTTGCACAATAGGAAAATTTGAAAATTATTTTTGAAATCAGGAAGATTTTCTTCTATGAGAATCACCTACTTTAATATATAAGTTATTTCAGAAAAACTAGCTGATTTTTTATGAATTATTTTAAATTATGTTATATATGTTTTATAGAATATATATATAGTGAGATATGAAAAGGTTTTTGTTAGCCTACTAAGGCAAACACAAGGAAAAGAAAAACATGCACAGTAGATGTTAAAAACTCAACTTATTTTCACATTATATAACTATGTACAGGTTAAGTAAAGGATGCCAACTCAAGGACAATTACTCCGGCAGTAACCCTAAACCTGATCATCAGCAGAACAATTACAAAAATAAAAATGGCCACATCACAGCAAACTGTAATCACACTAATACAATACAATAAACATGAATAATTATTACAATAACAATTTTCCTAAAATAAACACTTACTTTAATAAAAGAAAATTGAATATAGGGAAAGTAAAAGAGAAAAGTAAAAAGAGAAGTGGTGAAGATGGCAGATAGAATAGTAAAGAATGCTCAGGTTGTTTGGTTACCATGAAGGCCACATGTGAGCCTCTTAGATGCAAAATACTTGTTTCTATTTTCTTTTCCTTTGGTTTTTGAGGGTTTTAGTACAGTTGATTCTGACAGCTGGCCACATGTTTAGACTCTTCAAGCAGAAATGCCAACTTTAACACACTAACTTCAATACTGGAGTTTCAAAGTTCTAGACTCACCTGTCTCTCTGGCATCGGACATTGTAAATTCTCTCTCCTTTTCACGGTCTTCTCTCCTCGAGCACTAATCCAAAAGTAACCTTCCTTTGCTTTGTATGCCCTCAGGTAACCATGCATATGATGTTGGTGAATTTTAGGAAGTAGCCCTTATCTCCAAGAAAGAATAATTAAGAAGATTAGAAAGTTCTAAAAGTTGGAAAGAACAAAGAGCAGGAAAAATTGTCAGAATAAAAGGACAAAAGCATATAATATGGTAGCCATATTATATGCTTTATATTTATTTATTTATTTAAAACATAATTTTATGTAAAAAATTATAGTGCAATTAAATTTTAGTCTAGAACATTGATGGTGATGATAAAAATTATAGTAGCCATTATAAAACAAAATTAGTTAAAATTATTCATAAATATCATTATCAAATTCATTTTATTCTTATTTAACATGTAAAATTTTTTTCTAGTTAATGGCTGCAGCAGAATTTTTTCAATTAGATGGTCTTTTGAGATTCTGTGAGGCTCAAAGTTCAAGATTTGTTGACTTAGACAATGTTGTTTCAATGTATGTTCATGCAAAAGTTTATAGTGCATCACATCTTCTTGAATTTTGCCAAGGTTTCTTATTACAGAATATGGTAGCCTTGTTAACCTACGACGATAGTGTACGAAAACTTATATTTGGAAAGAAGCTACACAATCACGATGTTCTGAGTGGATTGTTACTAACATTACAAGCTCGAATTAAAGAAAGATCTCAAGGCAATAAATCTTCAATCATAGGAAAGTAATTAACTCTAGAGGTTTATATACTTGTTAAGAAAATTTATTAAGTTTTAATTTTTTTTAATTTTACATAACATCATTAAAAATTTTAAATTAAAACAAAAATTGGCATTTTATTCTGTATAAATACATATTAAATTAGATTGTTTCATAAAAATGATAAAAATTTAAATTATGTATTTCAGTATCTTTAAGATTTGGACTCAACTTATCCAATATTTAAAAAAAAAAAAGACAAATTTTAATCTATGTGATGTCTACAATTGTTTCTTGCATGCCATTTATTTTTAATATTTCTAGTTATATTGCAAGAATTTCATTATTTGTTATCAAATCTGTATTGTATGTTGTTGTTATGCATACATCAAAACAGAACTTCTGTGATTTATTACATATTCACTTAGTTTTTGTAGTAAAATATATAATTATTTACTGTATAAAATATATACTTTTGTACATATGTTAAAACATGTTGCAGAAAGAAGCAACTTGCCAATGTTTTAATATTGTTCAACAAATCTGTTCATTCCATTGTTATAATAGATAAATTATTATTCATATTTTATTTTATTACGCAACATTCCAAGAATAAGATTTATTAATTTATAAAAAAAACAACATTTTAATTCAAAAAATTAATAATAATTTAATGGGTGTTTATATATTTGGATTTTGCAATTTAAGAAAAACCTTTGCTAAAAATTTTAATATTATTTTTTAACTTGAAAAAGTCTAGGTATATATTTTGATATGTAACACCCATTTATATTAAATCTATGTAATGAACACACAATCTGATCTCAATTACAGTACTTATAATTACAAATGCAGTTATTTAATGTTAACGATTATGAAAATGTGCATAATCCAATTAGAGTTTATTAAATTTAGTTACTAAATTTATGCCAACAATCCTCAAATTTTACTCCTTGCTAACAGTAAGTTATGAGTAGAAAACATATTTTTTTAATGGCAAGGGGGTTATAAATACATTGCACGTTCTACCTCATAAACACCCACCAGAGAAAAAATTATTGTTTTATGTATACACTTAACAAAGTGCCATTTGAGAAAGTTATGTCAGTTCTGTTTTGCAACTGTTACAATCATTACAATCTATAAAATTTGTATTTAATATGCTATTTTTTTTTCTAGTAATTTGTTTAATATCTGTTTTATTTATATTTAATTTCATTTATTTTTTTTCAGGATATTCATTATCTTTAATGCGTTAATAAACTAACTACTGTTTTTGAATTTTATCATTGTGAAAATAAAAAAGCATGTTCATAATTTGATATATTTTATACAATAATTTATATTAAGAGAAGAGATATGGCTATATATTAATTACAGAATTTATATTTATTAACTTCCCATTCATTTTAAAACATTGAGAAAAAAAAAAAAATAATAATAATAATAATTANAAACGAATTCATCGAATCTAATAATTTATGCCTTTTATGATTAAGCTCACCAGTGGCCAAGTGGTCGTACCCTGAACACTTGGAGTTCGGTCGTGGGATCGGACGGTCTGGACACGTGGAGTTTTCCAGGTTTTCTCCACATCTGTAACGCCTAAATAGGGCTTTCCCTATATATTTTTTTTTTTTAATAAATCAATCATCCAGAACAATAAAGAAAATGTTATGAAAAGATTTATTTGATACATTTATAAATATTTGATTAAAAGAATGAAAACAATCTTTGATCCAGTGGAAAATTATTAATACAGAGGGCCAATGAGAGCTTGTATAGAGTCCACAATAGAGGGCTCCATTTGCTCCTTTATCCATTTTTTTTTTTTTTTTTGTATAAATGAAATGCATAGAATGTTTCTTTATTAATGAAAAGCAGTCTTAAAAATTTTATTTCTTGTTAATAAAAATAGCATTAATTTTACAGGAGTAGGAACCATGATGGCAATTATAAAAATTTTTAATAACATAACTTACAAATTAGTTATGTTAGTGAACATTTTTATAATTGTCCTCATATTTCCTCACGGGGATTAGCATTTTTGGCAGAAAGAATTTTTAAAAATTTTCTACTGGCTGAAAGATTGTGATTTTGTAAGAATATAACCCAATTAAGAGAAGTAACAAATTTCATTAATCTGATTAATAAAGTTGCAATTAAATATAAAAATTCAAATATAAATTAAAAATTTTTCTACAGTATTCAGATTTTGAATATTTAGAGTTTAATTACAAAAAAGTATACTAAAATTTATATTTTGAGTCTCAGAAATTAGCATATGTATAAACTTTTCAAATTAATACTCTAATAAATAATTTATTTACATTATATGCATCCTTAATTTTAAATAAAATATTATCAAATACTAAGTGCAAGCTTTAATTTAAATTGAAAAACAATAATCTATGATGATTTATATATATTCGATTATTATCCTGACTTGTATAATATCATAAAATATTCATAATTTATTGTAAATTTTTCACATTCTAAACTGATAAATTAAAATGATGTAAAAAAATAAATTTTATTCTGACACTTGCTTTATAATAACCTAAAATTTGAATATAAAATAAGTCAGTTTAGTGCCAAAAATTTACAACTGCCAAAATTCGGTTTTGCAATTAAAATAATTATTTTTATTAATTAATTACTATTATACTTTTAAGTCTATTTTCAGTATAATAATTATTATTATTATTTTTTATTATTAAAACTATTTGTTGAAGAGATTGTAATGAAAATTTGTAGTACAGTGAATGAATATTTTTGTAGTATTTGTATTATAAGCAGCAATTTAGTACAAATTTCTTATATAATTTTATTGACAATATGTATTTTCCTATAACAAATCAAAGTTTTTTTAATTAAGTGCAAATTAAATCAATTGTCTTTGTCATAAATATGCAATTTGTTCATTTTGGTTAATGGTTTTGTAATGACATTGTTTAAAATGATGTTTGGGTATACCTTCTATATTTGATAATACAGTGCCACAAAAAAAAAAAGAAAAATATATATCAAAATTTTTGTTCTTTCAATATTTGTATGCCTAAACTCTTAAGAGTTATATTCGGGTATTCTTGTCAAAAGGTATTTTTTTATGGAAAATATAATTTACACGATTTCCTATCAATAAATATTGTTTAATATTTTTTTATACATCAATGATTGTTGATTAATTACTTATATAAAAACATGACATCGCATACCAAATTTTGCAACTAAAATTATGGAAGAAATTTTTTTGTTATTAATTTTTTTAAATAAATAAGCAATACACAAAAATATATAAAATTAAAATTATATTTGCTATAGTTTTGCAATTTTCTCTTGAAAAAGTGGTGAATAATGATGAAAATATTCTGATTTTTGCTTAATTTTTTGTGTGTTTAACTAAAAATTATCATGGGCATTTGTGATGCATTGTATTGAATTACAAATCTCACAATAGCTCTTCCTATTTTCAAAGAGTATTTTGCATCATTTCTAAAAGTAAAATTTATACACTCTAACAGACTTTTTAAAATTTCTAATTATTCCTAAGATATTTTGACACAGTTTTGTTGTTCTGTTATAGGATGACCAAATGTCTGGACTTTGATTTTAGAATCAAATATTAAAAACAATCTTTGAGTAAAATCAATTTTATTAACTCATCAATCACCAATTTATAGATCAATAAATAAATTTTAAAAATAACTGAAGTTCCATCAGTTTTAGACTCCATTTTCATTGATTCTGAAACATGTTATCTTAGTAGAAAAGATCGACACACCTGAACCAATTACGGTGTGATCATGCAAAAGATCGGAAAACAAACGTTTTCGAACCCCTTCTGGGTTCTGCTTCAGGTTCTAATCAGCTTCTAAAGACGTTCGATGTCCGTTATAAGTAGAAATTCGATCGTTCATGTCGTTTAAAGCTTGAAATTTAAGTTGTAGGTTCGAATGGATTCACGTAATCCAAGTCGCGCATGCGCGATTGGTTACCCGTCATAGTTTGATGGGCGAATTAGAGCGTGTTGTGAATTAACTCATGCCAGGCCATCGATAACAGCATCTCCTCTTTAAAATTTATGCACGTGTTGTTGGTGGAGGATATAAATATGTGCATAGCCTCTAGCCATTTGAGGTGTTCGATAGGAGGCGAATCATGGAGGAGAATGGCCTGGGAGAAGTTCGCTACTATATCCGGATCAGTTACATACGTAGCGAGGGCCGTGGAAGTTCTTCCGTGCCGAATATCGGCTAGATGCTCTTGTATTCTGACTCCCAGAGATCGTTTAGTGGAGCCTATATAAATCAGGTTCCTATCGCACCTGTTGTCCTTCACTGGGATGCTATAGATTCCAGGGCGTCTGATGGGGTTAGGAGGGTCCTTTCCATTACGTAAGAGGTTGAAGATGGTGGGACACCTCTTAAAAGCTAGACGTAGCTGACGTTTGCTGGCAAGCTTAGCGTATAGAGATTTTAAGTACGGGTTGTATGTGATGGAGATACGCTCTATTTCTTCAGGCCGGCCGTCACGGAGTTGGTCCGATTCTTGTACACTCTCCGAATATATACGTTGTTGATGTTGTATTAGCCTATGGATATGTTTGTGATACCCGTGTTGGGCGGCAACGCGGAGTATGTAGGCTAGTTCGGTATCGCGAGCCTGGATGTTAGATGAATGCGTAAAGGCTCTTCTGATTAATGCCCTAAAGGCTGCAGTCTTGTATGAGCTCGGATCACAGGACCCGGTCGGAATATATGATGATGTGGATCCAGGTTTATGATATACCGACGTATTGATTCCCGAGCTATCGACCTTAACGCTTATATCCAGAAAGTGTACTTCAGATGGGTGAGATTGCTCTATTTCCAGAGTCAACCCGAACGGGTTATTGTTGAAAGAATCGACAAATGTTGTTGTATCCGGCGTTGTTTTCCAGATAATGAAGATGTCATCTATATACCTCCTATATAATTTGATGTTGTGGAGGTATTGAGGAAGGACCTTGTCTTCTAATTGCCGTACCACCATTTCACATAGGTCCCCAGAAACCGGACTGCCCATGGGGACCCCTTTACTCTGTGTGTAGATCTTGCCGTTAAATTGAAATACCGAATTATAACAAATTAGGTGCGCCACTTCTAGCACTTGGTTGTGTAAAGTTCGGTCCCCGACAATACGAAATAGGATGTCTCTGAGTGCACAGAATGCTGGAGGGAGCTCAATGGAGGGGTAGAGGGACTTAAAGTCCAATACGGTGAAGTAACAGGGTGAAGTGACATTTTTCAACTGTGCTATAAGCTCCATAGAGCTAGAGATGGTATACGGGTAATCTTCCAAGTGTGGTGTAAGAAGGGTGTGGATGGCTTTCTCCAGCTTACGAGTAGGCGCCCTAGCTTTATCCACCACCGGGCGGAGCTGTTGGCCAGTTTTATGAGTCTTCGCAAAGGCGAACAATTTCGGTATGTCGGGGGAGTCAACGGCCACGTTGACAAGCTCTAAGCGTTTAGCTAGATTGGTGTGAGTGAAACGCTTGACTCTGGAATGAAGCTTGTCGATAAAACTTTCCTCCACTCTCTCGCATTGGGTGAGTGAAATGTATTCCTGTAGGCCCCTTTCGTAGGTGTCGCGTTTCATGAGAACCATGGTATTGGTTTTATCCGCTCTGACAAGAGTGATGTTATTTAGTTTCATCCATCTGACCGTACGTCGGAGTTTGTTTCTCAGATCTACAAGTTCCGAAGACTCCTTAGAATTCCTGATCTTCAGAGTGGCCATCCAGCGATAGTACTCCTTTTGTCTATCCGTTAGGCCCCGTAAGAGGATTTCCAGATCCGGGATGAGGCTCCTTGCGTCATTCTTTCGAGGGGGTAGTGCGAACGCTGGACCAAATTTCAGGACGTCCACTACAAAGGTCGGTAGGATCAAGTTGTCGATATAAGCGTTAAGGTCGATAGCTCGGGAATCAATACGTCGTTATATCATAAACCTGGATCCACATCATCATATATTCCGACCGGGTCCTGTGATCCGAGCTCATACAAGACTGCAGCCTTTAGGGCATTAATCAGAAGAGCCTTTACGCATTCATCTAACATCCAGGCTCGCGATACCGAACTAGCCTACATACTCCGCGTTGCCGCCCAACACGGGTATCACAAACATATCCATAGGCTAATACAACATCAACAACGTATATATTCGGAGAGTGTACAAGAATCGGACCAACTCCGTGACGGCCGGCCTGAAGAAATAGAGCGTATCTCCATCACATACAACCCGTACTTAAAATCTCTATACGCTAAGCTTGCCAGCAAACGTCAGCTACGTCTAGCTTTTAAGAGGTGTCCCACCATCTTCAACCTCTTACGTAATGGAAAGGACCCTCCTAACCCCATCAGACGCCCTGGAATCTATAGCATCCCAGTGAAGGACAACAGGTGCGATAGGAACCTGATTTATATAGGCTCCACTAAACGATCTCTGGGAGTCAGAATACAAGAGCATCTAGCCGATATTCGGCACGGAAGAACTTCCACGGCCCTCGCTACGTATGTAACTGATCCGGATATAGTAGCGAACTTCTCCCAGGCCATTCTCCTCCATGATTCGCCTCCTATCGAACACCTCAAATGGCTAGAGGCTATGCACATATTTATATCCTCCACCAACAACACGTGCATAAATTTTAAAGAGGAGATGCTGTTATCGATGGCCTGGCAGGAGTTAATTCACAACACGCTCTAATTCGCCCATCAAACTATGACGGGTAACCAATCGCGCATGCGCGACTTGGATTACGTGAATCCATTCGAACCTACAACTTAAATTTCAAGCTTTAAACGACATGAACGATCGAATTTCTACTTATAACGGACATCGAACGTCTTTAGAAGCTGATTAGAACCTGAAGCAGAACCCAGAAGGGGTTCGAAAACGTTTGTTTTCCGATCTTTTGCATGATCACACCGTAATTGGTTCAG